CTTTGCTGAATTTGACCCACCACTGTATGGCTTTACTATTTTTGCTGCTTTAGTTCTTATTTTCTTCGTACTTAGTGTGAGCATTTTTACATAGCATATTTCATGATTGGCCTGTGCTAATCCATTGTGATTGGAAACAGTTTGCAAAATCAGTCCTCTAATGGGATATATTTTCCCCCATGTGTTTACAAAAACAGTCCCAGTCCATGTTAGGAATCCTCTTTTTGCCTGTTAAACCACCTGAGGATACAAAGATTTTTCTTTTTTTTTTTTGAGACCGTGTATCACTTTATCACCTTCAGTATAGTGTTGTGTAACCTCAAACTTTTAGGTTCAAGTCATCCTCTTGCCTCAGCCTCCTGAGTAGCTGGGACTATAGGTTTGCCAAAATGCTCAGCTATTTTTTAGAGACAGCTCATTCTCGCTCTGACTGGTCTTGACTCCAGGGAGATCCTCCCAGCTCGGCCTCCCAGAGTGTTAGGATTATAGGTGAGAGCCACTGCACATGGCCGATGTAAGTATGTTTTAAAGAAATCAGATTGTTTGGCTGAGGCAGTGTCCAGTGTTTTGAGAGAACAGGTGTTTGAATCAAACTTAACAGTACTCTTGCCCTTTAGACCTTAGTAGACCTCCGCTTCTACTCAGTGTAGAAAAATTAACTAGGCATTGTGGTGGGTGCCTGTAGTCTCAGCTGTTCGAGAGACTGAGGCAAGAGAATTGCTTGAACCCAGGAGTTTGAGGGTGCTGTGAACTATGACGCCACAACACTACCCTATGTGATCTTGGGCCTTTCCCTACACCTGTGGTCCTCAAGCTTCTGCGTTTAATCATAATCATCACTTAGAAGGTTAAGACAGATTTCTGTGCCCATCTGTTGGCGCTAGGACACACCATCCCCAAATAGAACTGCAAAAGGCCAGAATGTCTTAAGAGGCTTTGATTCCAAAAGGATTTGGGTGTCATTGTCTGGGGGGGCCGAGAGCTATGTGCTTGTGGTCTTCACAGGCTTGTGTCCTATCACTGATGTTAGTGGTGAAGGCCTCTAGGAAAACTGAAGACCCAGGTGCTGATGCTAAATGTTTTTTGGTTGTTTTTTTTTCTTGCAGTTTTTGGGTTTGAACCCGCCACCTCTGACATATGGGGCCGGCACCCTACTCCTTTGAGCCACAGGTGCCACCATGCTAAATGTTTTTAATTGACAAAAAATGCATATCTCAACAGGGCACGAAGTGGTGTTGGTGTACCATAAATAGAATGACTGGATCAAGGTAACAGTTGTTGCTTCATGTATCTACTTTTTTGCAGTTAAAACTTTTGAAATTATAGCATTTTTTTTTTTTTTTTTTTTTTGGAGACAGACTTGAGCTGTTGCCCTGGCATAATAGCTCACAGCAACCTCCAACTCTTGGGCTCATGCGATCCTCTTGCCTCAGTTTTTCTATTCATGTTTTAGTGGAGACAGGGGTCTCACTTTTTGCTCAGGCTGGTCTCAAACCCATGAGCTCAAGCTATCCACCTGCTTGGCTTCCCAGAGTGCTACCATTATAGCAAAGGCGTGAGCCACTGAGCGCAGCCTACTTGTAGCATTTATTTTATTTATTTTTTTTGTTGAGACAGTTTCACTAGTTGCCCTCAGTAGAGTGCCGTGGTGTCACAGCTCACAGCAACTTCAAACTCCTGGACTCAAGCAATTCTCTTGTCTTAGCCTCCTGAGTAACTGGGACTACAGACGCCTACCACAACACCTGTCTATTTTTTTTTTGTTTTGTTTTAGCAGGCCCAGGCTGGGTTCAAACCCACCAACTCTGGTGCATATGGCTGGCACCCTACCCATTGAGCTATGAGCACCACCCTTTTAAGTATAGAATACATCAAGTAACAATTTAAAACTATACAACACACTAAGTAGCAATTTGTAAATATATACTAAAGTAGCAATTTATAAGTATGCCATATGCTAAATAGCATTTTTAGTGTGGAATACACTAGCAGTTTGAGTATAATACACTAATTTTTTTTTCCCCAGCATCTCACTCTGTTGCCCTGGTAAAGTGCCCTGGCCTTATCATAGTTCGTGGCAACCTCTTGGGCTCAAGTCATCCTCTTGCCTCAGTCTTTCTATTTTTTTTTTTTAGTAGACATGGAAGGGTCTTGCTTTTTGCTCAGGCTGGTCTTGAAACTGAGCTCAAACTATCCGCCCCCAGAGTGCTAGGATTACAGGCATGAGGCCACTGCGACAGCCTACTTGTAGCAATTTTTAAGTATAGAATACATCAAGTAACAATTTGAAAGTATACAACACAGTAGCAATTTGTAAATGTACTGTATACTAAAGTAGCAATTTGTAAGTATATCACATACTAAATAGTATTTAAGTATATAATATACTAAGTAGCAACTTGTTAGTATGGAATACACTAGGGGTTTGTGTACAATACGCTTTTTTTTTTTTTTGAGACAGTCTTACTCTTGCCCTGGGTAGAGTGCCCTGGTATCATCATAGTTCACGGCAACCTCTTGGGCTCAAGGAATCATCTTGCTTCAGATGCCTGGCTAATTTTTTTCTGTTTTTAGTGGCAGTCTCACTGCTGCTCAGGTTGGTCTTAAACTTCTGAGCTCAAGCCATCCACCTACCTCAGACTCCAAAAGTGCTAGGATTAGAGGTGTGAGTCACTGTGTCCAGCTACGATACACTGTTAGGTATGATTGCTTTGCTGTGCAATAGATTTCCAAAACTTACTCTTATCTAACTGGATTTTGTGTTCTGGACCAACATTTCACCAATCCTCCACCCCTCATCTCCAGCTCTGGTAACCACCATTCTATTTCTTGTTGCTATGACTTGCTTCACATGTGAGGTTCCACATGTAAGTGAGATTATGCAGTGTATTTTTGTTCCTGGCTTATTTCCCTTAATATAAGCTTCTCTAGACTTATCCATGTTGTCTCAAATGATAGAATTTCCTTTTTTGTATGGTTGAGTAATATTCCACTGTATATATGCTATATTCTCTTTTGTTGGACACTTAAGTTGATTGCATATTTTGGTTACTGTGAATAGTGTTGCTCTTGATATTTGTTTCAAAAACAAAACAAATCAATCTGTTGACTGAAGCTAGAGTGCCCATGGACTTATAGCTCACAGCAACATCAAACTCCTTAACTCATCCTCTTGCCTGAGCCTCCCAAGTAGCTGGGATAGGCATGGGCCATGATCCCTAGCTTGTTTTTCTATTTTTATTAGAGAAGGAGGTCCCACTCTTGCTCAGGCTGCTCTTGAACTCCCGAGCTCAAGCAATCCTCCTGCCCCAGCCTTGCGGAGTTCTGGGATTACAGGTGTGAGCCACTGAACCTGGCCAGAGATGATCATACGGTTTTTGTCCTTGAGTCTGTTATCACATTTTTTTTTTTTATGTTGAACCATCCTTTTGTCTGATGAATAGATCCCATTTCATGATTAACTTTAATGTGTTGTTGAATTTGGCTTGCTAGTATTTTAAGGTTTGGTTTTTTTTCTTGTACCTGTGTTTGTTAGATACTGGCCTATTGCCTTTTGTAATGTCCTTGCTTGGCTTTGGTATCAGGTAGTGCTGGCCTTCTAAAATGAGTGGATATACTCTGTCCCTTTTAATTTTGGGGGAAGAATTTGAGAGGGATCTTAGTTCTATTTTTATTTACTTTTCTGAGGTAGTCTCTATTGCCCTGGGTAGAGTGCTGTGGCATTATAACTCACAGCAACTTTAAACTCCTAGGTTTTGATAATCCTCTTGCCCCTAACTTGCAGAGTAGCTGGGACTATAGGTGCCTGCCACAATGTCCACCTAATTTTTCTATTTTTAGTAGAGATGAGGTCTTGCTCTTGTCAGGCTGGTCTTGAACTTTTGAGCTTCAGCAATCTACTTGCCATGGCCTCCCAGAGTGCTGGGATTACAGGTGTCAGACACTGCCTGGCCTGATCTTAGTTTTTAAAAATGTCCAGTAGAAATCAGCACTAAAGCTCTCCAGTCCTGGGCTTTTTGGCTTTGTTCATATTTTCTAGTTCTTATTTTATTTTATTTGTTTTTGAGACAGTCTCACTATGTTACTCTCGGTAGAGTGCTGTGGCATCACAGCTCATAACAATCTCAAACTCTTGGGCTTAAGTGATTCTCTTGCCTTAGCCTCCCAAGTAGCTGGGACTACAGTGCCCACACAATGCCCAGCTATTTTCTTATTGCAGTTGTCATTGTTTAGGCGGCCTGGGCCAGGCTGGAACTCACCAGCCTCAGTGCATGTGGCTGGTGCCTGTAACTACTGTCTACGGGCACCGAGCCAATATGTTTTCTAGTTCTTAATTTAGTCCACAGGACTTAGTACCAATGGGGCAATGAGAACAGGTCTGTTTGTTTTTTTTTTTTTTT